GCCATTGGATTGCAGAGAGACACAGGATTGGCTGCGGCCAGGTGGTCCAATATGTCTGCGCCCTAATCCGACGCCACACCGGCTCTTCACCCATGTGGAGCATATTGGCAAGTTTGATCAATTTAGGCCGGCGCCATCTGCTAAACACCCTTCAGGCGCCCAGCAAATTTTTTCCAGGATACGCTTCTGTACTTCAAACACCCAATCTGTGCCTTCGTTATTACAAAACTGAGGACCGTTTGAGACTAAGGTGTCGCGACTGCTTTTTCGAAAGACGAGATAACAGACTCTACGTTGAGTGCAAAACTCATGCACGCCACCGTCAAGCTCAGATTATGAGAGAACCCATTACTCCATGGAGATTTCGTCGGAAGATATGGAAACACGTAAAATGGACTTAATTGGAACCAATTTGCGCTTTCAAGGTTGATTATTGTGTGCGACATTTTCACAAGTAAATTCGATACTTACGTATTAGTTTTTTGCATTTTTCTTACCTGTAGTCTTCGGAGTCTGATATAAGACCCTTTAGAATTTTGGTGGTTAAAGATCTGGACTTCGTAAATAGCCATCAAACTCCAAATCTTTTCATCAAGATTCCGGGTATTGACGGCCCATTATATAATTGTAGTTTTATGTAATAGATGCTATGGAATCTGGAGTCGCTAAATGCCACTTTTTTGCTGTCTAATTGTCATTAGTTCACAAATTGCGTAGTTACTTGGGAGGGGTAAATATCCCGATGCACGTTTCAACCATCATGTCCCCATCAGCGGTCTTTGAGATGGAGGTAGTTCGCGTGTTTACCACAATTACGGGACGATACAAGGCGTTATTTTGTGCAATTTAGGTTTTCGTATGAAAAAGGTACATTCAAATTCATGCAGTCGTGCAGCTACGCGGTGCGAACGCTGGTTGCTTTCTTCATAGGTCGTTTATTCAAAACTTGTGTGGTCAAATAGTACCCATGTGTCCAATATGCCTTAACCTCCTGTTGAAGTAAATGACAGACAAGGACCCACCATAATAACATCCTAAATACATCAGGTGAGGCATGTCTTGTGCCACACATGCGTAGGATCCATTAAGTATGGGAATTTGCTTACTTTGAACTTCTGTGGACTTAGCGAAGGAAATGAAACACCAGTAAAAAAATATTAAAAACAAATTGATTTGAAAGTTAGCAAGAGGCAAACTTTGGGTTTTATGGCTGAAGTATCCTTTAGTAGCCTCCTCAGCCCCTATTTTTTCCTGGGGTATTATCGCATAACACATTTCCCGTCAGGTAAATTAAATCAAACTAACATTTTGGAGAACTTCGTGACTGCTATCTTCTATAAATTACAAATCGTTTCCGTAAACTGGGGCCCTAAATACTAAGAGTTTTATAAAGTTCAGAATTAATGCATGGGACCTCAACATTTGAGACCCTTATCACTTACAACTTTAAAGTTGTCCAAAAGTAATGCATTATCAATTGCTGTCTACGTTTTTTGATTTGATTACAAGAGTGTTATACTAAAATATTCGTACATTGGCGTGACGAGTCCTGCCACTCGCCTTTTCATATGTATTAAGTGTATGTAAGTGCATATGTATTAAGTGGACCCTTCAAATATAAGTGAAGTAAATTGATTTTCACTGAGTCTCTTTACTTCATTAGAAGTCACTTTTGTCAAGACTCTTCGACTTTAGTATTATGCAGTCCATCCCCCAGAGTTCAGTTATCGTAATTGGCTCATTATTTGATGCTGTCCTCGTGAAATACTACTACTACTCAATCTATCAACACCGTTGTCGCACGTTATAGTATGCTTTAATTGTATTGGGGCCTGTTTTGTGGTGCATCTTGATGGAGTAACAGTGTCACTTGTGATCGTCGCTTGTAATGTGACAGCATACTAAAGAAATAAATGGCAAACTCGAGCAATCATTGGTAATACCTGCTGTTTATATCATAAGGATTCAGTTTTGTAGACTTGCTACATCGAAAACTACATTTGAATCTTCCTGTTTGCTTTTGTTTAGTCCATTTCCTCTTTATCGCTGTTTTCTCTTAGATATTCCTGAGCTTGCATAAAGAGTCCTCGCGAGTTTTAGTTCTTACTACTCCGTAATTGTTTCGTCAAGATAGAAGGTGGCCATAACTAAGGCGAGGTTTTACAATTCTCAACACCTATGATTTTCAGCATCCAAAAGCTCCACTTTCCCACGTGTTAATTCCGACCCATGATCCTCGTGATTTGAAGACCAAAATTATGGTGAAATTTTTAGTTTTTCAATTAATTATCTGATTCCAAACAGCATATAAACATGCACGAGCGTTTTGAGGTCAATCGCTGCGTTGAATAATGCAATAAAGAGAATATAATGTTAGAATCTGTAAGGGTTTTCATTCGGTATTGGTAACCAGTGGCGCCATTAAAAGTCTTTTCCTTCAAATAAATGTTGAGTAGAAATGTGAAACACGTCCAATTAGTTGCATGTGGTTCACCTTCAGAACTTACTACTTCTCAGCCATGACTTCATTTTTCATCCTATTGCAAAAGGCAAACTAATTCAAGGTAGCTTATGAACAACATTCGGTTATTTGCTGCACACATGAACAGTAGCGCTGTTCAAAGGTGTGTAAATGTGAATGGCAGTTGTGGTCATTAGTAATGCGGAAAACTGACCGCGTTTTGTTTACACGTATCACTTTAGAACCTGTCCTGTCAGAATTTAAGTAAGGTGGTCCACGTATTTTAATAATGCAACTCTCCTTCGTGGAAATCTTTGAATGTTCCCGTCTCAATTATGTCTTACTGATTCTAATTAAGTAAAACTGTTGGCTGTATATTTCCAGAGCATAAGTATTTGTAATGCTATGCATTTGTCTTCTTTCAAACTAATAAAAGATCAAATATAAAGATGCTAATATGGACTTATGAATTGGATTTTTTTAAAACCCACAACTGATCTGTAAAATGCCAAAGAAAACAAGGACCCGGTTTGTACTTGAATCCATTCCACAAAAGTCTTGTGTACATAGCTGCATGTGTTTACTAAATGTATTTTTCACTGAGTGCTCATTACTTTCCTGCAACCATACCCGATTGCTTTTTCTCAGTTCGCTGACAACACACTTTGATTATGGGCTTGGAATGTTTTGTTAATTTATCAATCCTAGTTATGGTACTTGTTTTATTTTAACCCTCTAACTGCAACCAATGTTGAGTGACTTACGACAATGCAAAACGCGTCTTGTGTTCGACGTAAAAACACTGAGATGTCTATCACAAACCATTTGCTAATAGGGGTATTTTAGCATAAATCAGACAAACTCCGGAATTAGGTCCAGATGACATAATGGTACCCGATATAATCACACGGGTATTGCTCCTGTTTTAAATAGTAACATCGCGAGTCTAAAAAATTTGGAGTCGATTGGAGCAGCTCATGGTTTGCTCGTGAAAAATCGTACAATCCGGTAATAACCATGTACTTGCGTTCACCGTTCACTCGGTTAGGGTGCGACTGGTGCATAGTCTAAACAGATGCTTCCTATACTTGTCTAATTTGTGTTTAGTTAGTTTATTTACCACATCTACACTCAGTGTCATCGAAAGCTTAGCTAGTTGATAAATAGAAGACGCTAGCAATCGTCAGACTGGCGCAAAAGTTATGTCTGTCCATCCAAAGTGCATCAAATATTAGTCACTATAATTTTGGCAATTACTATAGTTTCAGATGCCGCATTAACTAATATCTAACGATTTGAGTTTCTAATTGAGCAGTACTTTGTTTGGCTTTTCGGATTTGAATGGCTCTAAGAAGGGAGGTCAGGAGTACCTGGGAAATTAATTTATATTACCTGCTCGGCATCGTTCCACATAAAACAGATGGAGTCTCTGTTCATTCAGAGCATGCAGTGCCAACCAAGTGCTTTTAAACAGGGACTGCAATGCACAAATGCTTAACAGCTCCACCCCATGCATTTGTTTAATGGACCCATAGTGCTGGCAAATTGTTAGGAAAAGAAATTGAAACGAGTTATATCCTGTTTCCCCATTTACAACCGGTTCGTTAACTCAATAAAAGGGAGATGCATACTCATTTTGTATGTCCTCAAAATCCTAAAAAATATAGTCCAAATCGGAAGTAAGTACCTTTCACCAGCAATGATAGATTGAAAGTCACAATTCAATGGAAAACCGAGAGTTCCTAAGGGGCCAGACTGTTGCCGTGGACGCAGTGGCTCGTGTCTACGGGATTTCGATTTGGGGGACGCTTGAGCTGCATCGCGGTGGGCTTATTGAACCGACTGCATTGTGTAGATCTAGGTAAGGCATCGCATTAAGTTGATTACTGTTTTGTTTACGCAGGATGCAATGCGGACAATTTAAGAGTATTTGAAGTAGTTGAAGATTTCGTGTGAAATGGTTGAGGAATGCAGAAGCACCTCCCATTACTGGTAATCGGTCTGGCCTTGTCATGCATTACGCCAAATACTGTTTTCCTGTCCACCGTAGTTTTAGAGCTTGTGGATTTCGTGTTGTAACTAATCACTTATATATTTTTAACAGGAATGATGGATGGTAATCGCGGTAACTCATTGAATGAGACCATTCAGCTTATTTTATAATTTAAATTGAGAAAAACACTCATTATTGAAAGAAAACTAGAGATACAATGGTTGTATTATTTTGTACCTTGGTTCCACGTTCCGAAATTCCGTGACCTGTATACTTGAATCATCCGTTTTCTACTTTCATGACTTCTGAAGCTTTCATTTAGCGTCAGGCAGCAAAGTGCCTGTGGCTTCGTATGTGGAATCACTGTGAAAAATTGTACTGGTTAAGAAAGCTTTTGAGCGTCATTTCTTTGAAAGTATTGCTAACTATAGTAAACCTTTGACTGAATCTAGCTCTACAGTGGAACACTTACTTTGCCAAATCAGGCCAAGACTCTCCACGCGATTCCAAATTTTTTAAGCAGCAGTAGAGGAACCTTTGATTTCTTTTAAATGGCAAATTTCCAGTTACGGTTTTTCACTTTGATGATCAGTTCTGCCGAAACAGTCACGCAATCCTAACACAGGAGAAACATTTAAAAATCGGCTTGTACAAAACTGGTCTCAAAGTATTCAAATTTATTCCGCTTAAAACCGTCATAGCTTCTATCCAACTGGACCTGCACTGAGGGAACAGCATTTCAGCAATTTTACATAACTCTTGTGTGGCGAAAACAACGTATAGATTGTCATTTTCTTGCAATAATGGTTAGATGGTATCAGAAAAATAGAAGACCACTTAAGAGAGGGCCTACATGAAAGTGCCAGACCGTGTATTAACCGTTTTATAAAACGCTTTCGTTCAATAAAGGATGGGAGTTAACTGACTGTAAACAGTGTGTTCAAGTA